AGCTCTTTAGCTGACCTGCAATTCTGAATGATAGCTTTGCTGGATAAAGTATTCTTGGTTGTAGGTTCTTGGCATTCACCACTTTGAATATTTCTTGCCACTCCCTTCTGGCCTGCAAAGTTTCTGTTGAGAAATCAGCTGACAGTCATATGAGTATTCCCTTGTAGGTAACTGAGTTTCTTTCTCTTGCTGCTTTTAAGAATCTCTCTTTGTCTTTTGCTCTTGGCATTTTAATTATGATGTGTCTTGGTGTGGTCCTCTTTGTGAGGCCAGCTTGTAATCATCTTATAATCAAACCAATCTTGGAACTTATGTATATAGAGCACCATTTTGTCTACATTCACTATATTTTGATTTAGTTAATTAATTTTACTCTACTTTTTAAAAGCTAGTTTTAGAGAGAGAAACATTGATGTGAGAGATAAATATCATTGGTTGCCTCCCACATGAGCCTGGACTGTAGATTGAACTGGCAACTTGGGGTTGTGTCCTGATTGAGAATCAAATCTACCACCTTTTCGTGTACAGGATGACACTCTAACCAACTGAGCCACACCGTCCAGGCCTTTACTACATTTTTAGAGTAGAGCTTAACTTAAGAGAGAAACATTGATGTGAGAGATAAATATCATTGGTTGCCTCCCACATGAGCCTGGACTGTAGATTGAACTGGCAACTTGGGGTTGTGTCCTGATTGAGAATCAAATCTACCACCTTTTCGTGTACAGGATGACACTCTAACCAACTGAGCCACACCGTCCAGGCCTTTACTACATTTTTAGAGTAGAGCTTAACTTAGGCAAGGGTTTAACTCCTGTAATGGATTTATTCCTGATTTGTTCACAAATTGCGCTTTCTGATACAGTGCTGTTGATGGGTATTTAGTGATAGTGGTCTTAATCAGTATTCATTTGCTTTCCTCATGCTAGTATTTGGAAGAGTAGATTTAATAGTAATATAGAGCAGGCATATGGTGATGCATAGGCACTGAGGATTTCTTAGTGCTAGGTTTTTTAAAAAGTTGATTTGTAATTTACACACAGTGCAACTTGTAATTTGAGTTTTGACAAAGAATTGGTGGTGTTACAACCACCCAAAACAATATATGGGACATTTTCATCCCTCCAGAAAGGCCCTTTACTTACTTTTCTAGTTAATTTCCACTTATATCCTGACCCAGGCAATCACTATTTTCATTTGAAGCATCATAGATTAGCTTGTTCCAGAATGTCTTATTCATGGAATCATACAGTATGTACTTCTTTATGTCTGCCTTCTTTTACTCATTATGTTTGTTTGTTTATTTTAATCCTCACCAGAGGATATATATTTTATTTATTTATTTTTTTAGAGAGAGAGGAAGGGGGATAGAGAGACATCAGTGTTTGAGAGAAACATCGATCAGTACATGCCCTGACTGGGGATGCTCCAACCAACTGTGCCACCTGGCCAGGGCTCATTAATCAGGTGCTTGAGATTTACTTGAATTAATTGCTTTTATCAGTAGATCTTTTTAAAAAATATATATTTTATTGTTTTTTTACAGAGCGGAAGGGAGAGGGATAGAGAGTTTAGAAACATTGATGAGAGAGAAACATCGATCAGCTTCCTCCTGCACACTCCCCACTGGGGATGTGCCCGCAACCAAGGTACATGCCCTGACCAGAATTGAACCTGGGACCCTTGAGTCCGAAGGCCGACGCTCTATCCACTGAGCCAAACCAGTCAGGGCCTTTTTTTTTTTTAAAGTTTGTTTCTTTTTATTGCTCAGTGGTCTATTATGTGATGATAGTATAGTGACTGGAGTTGTTTATTCATTGTCTCCTGTTGATAAACCCATTTGCTTTTTTTAAAAAATTGATTTTTAGAGAGAGAGAGAGGAAGGAGGAGAGAAACACTGATTTGTTGTTCCACTTATGCCTTCATTGATTGATTCTTATATGTGCTCTGACTGGGACTGAAGCTGCAGTCTTGGAGAATCTGGATGATGCTCTGACCAGCTTAGCTACCCAGTCAGGACCCCATTTGCTTTTGATATTATGCTACTTAAATAAAAATTTGAAGGTTCTTTTTCTTTTTTTTATTAAACAGAGGAAAAGCGCCCTTTTGACTTCGATTTTTTTGCTCATTTGCTTCAGAAAGTTCTTGCTGACGAAGAGAAAAGAAAACAAAAATCCCTTAAAAATCAAAGTTTAAGGGAGAAGAAATCCTCTAAACCACGGAAAAATGTAAAAGGTATTTATTTTAAAAGGAAGTGTGTTATTTTACTTAATAGACTTGCAATATTAAGCCTTTGAGTGTTCACATGTAGTTCAGGTAGTTGAGGTTATCAGGGCCCAAGACAGCAGCTGTCTTTTATTTGTTCTTGTTTTTTCTTTTAAATTTTCTAATTGTCATGGCTGTTTGATATCTTCCTTGCATGTAGAGCATAGTCTTAGTAATAAAGAGTATCAGAATTTTGGAGTGTTATGTTTGGTTACTTATTATCATTTTCCTCTCTAAAGCAAATCTGGCACAACATTTTAACATTTAAAAAAAACCCACTCTAATACTTTGGACTTGTGACTAAATTGTGTAGTTTGAGCTTAACTTATTTCTTAGGCTAAATGTTGACTTGTACTAGGTAGAAAATTGTTTTTATGTATGTTTATTAAATTTTTAGTTTTATATTTTGTAAACTACTTAAATTCTGCTCTATGAGGACAGTGTTTAGCTATAATCACATAATGTAAAGAATGTTGGAACTTTAGGGAACCTTATGTTAGCTTGTCCATATTCCAGCCCTTTTCTGTTTGTTTTAATCACCCAGAAATAGTCCTGCAGACCTAAGTCACTTTTTTATAAGGTCTCACAGTGTTAGTAGTGGCAGAGGCAGGACTCAAACCTAGGACTGTGAGAGCCTCTGTTGGGGGTTCCTAAGAACACCCTCCAGGTTCGATTATTTGCTGGGAGGACTCATAGGATTTATTGTTTAGTTGTACTAACAGCTAAAGTTTATTATAGTAACAGGATACAGAGCAAAATTAGCAAAGGGAAAAGGCCCATGAGTCTTTGTTGATTTTAAAAAGTTGGTTTATGTAAAAGTTTCCTACCAGGGAAGCTTGTTAGAAGCTCATTGCCCAAGGATTTTATTGGAGGCTTGTCATACCCTTTGCTTGGCATGTACCAGAATTCAGACTCCCAGAAGGAAAGCCAGTTGTTCAGCAGAAACCGCATTATTTGTATAAACAGTTTAGGTAGGCAGATGGGACACTCCCCAAGCCCCAGTTTCTAGACAGCAATTGGCCAGCCTTTTTAAGTAGACCTTTCAAAGGATAGCCTGCAAGTTAATTCTCTTCTGCACAGAGCCAATCTCGAAGATCCTTTTTTGGAGTATGGTGTCTACATGTTTTAAAAAGTAGTATTGATAACTGCAAAGTTTTTACTCTTTAGTCATTTTTCTTTACTTACTATACATAGCCCTAGGAGATTAAAATAGATGTATTAATGTTGTGGTTATCATGTAACAGTTGATAGCACAAGTAACTCACTATATCTCATTAATGTGAGAAATTTTCAGATGTATTATTACAAGTCTCAGAAGTTAAAAATTGCTAATTATTATTCTGATAGAGAATAAATCAAGTATTATTTTCTTAGTTTTAAAATCTTGATTTGACTTTTTTCACAAAAATAAATGACATTGAATTTTATTATTTTTTTAAAGATTAGATATTTCTAGAGATGTTTGATCAGCCATGATTGTGGAATTAAGTTTGCTTTTGGTTTGGATGCTGTTTCCATGGTGATCTCTGTTTTTGCTTTTTAAATTGTTTCATCTTTAAAAATTAAAAAAAAAAAACCCTCACCTGAGGCTATGTTTTTTAAAAAATTAAATTGATTTTTAAAATTGATTTTAGGGAGAGAGGAAGGAAGAGAGAAACATTAATTGGTTGCCTCACATATGATCCCTGACCGGGGATTGAAACACAATCTAGTTATGTGCCTTGATGGGAATCGAACCCACTCTAACCAAGTAAGCCATGCAGCCAGGGCTGTTTCATCTTTTGATACAGTTGACAATTTATATGCCTTCAAAGAAAAAGCACTAGAAATTGTTTAGAAATATTTGTTAAAAAGATTGTTCATTGAAAAATCATCCAGGAAATAAAATTCTTGAACTCTTTCTCCTACCCTGCCAATCAGAATCTTCAGATTTCCTATGGATAACTATTACTAAACTCTTTCCTACACAAATGTGTGTGTGTGTGTGTGTGTGTGTGTGTGTCTTAGAGTATATGTAATTATTTTTGTTTAATAGAAATGAGGTCATACTATATATGTTGTTTTGCAACTTGATTTTTTTTAATGTAACAGTACATTTTGAAATCTTTCACATCACTACATATGAGTCTACCTCATTATTATTTACTGCATAGATTTTTATAGCATAAACTAGAGGCCTGTTGCACAAAGAGATTCGTGCAATAGGCCTTCCCTTCCCTTGGCTGCTGGCACCGGTTTGCCTCTGGCACCTGGGACCCAGGCCTTCGCTCATGCCGGGCTCTGGCTGGAACTGGCCCCAGAACTGTCTGGCTTCGCTTCGGGTCGCACATGGGAGGGCCAGATGGCAGCCCGGCGGGCGGCGGATCGCTGCTGTCCACCCCTGGCCGCCCCAGGTCGCACACGGGGGGGCCAGATGATGGCCGGGTGGGTGGCGGATGGCGCTGTCCTGCCCTGCCTGCAGTATGCAAATGTAATGGCCATCTTTGTTGGGTTAATTTGCATACTCTTCTGATTGGCTGGTGGGTATAGCGAAGGTACGGTCAATTAGTATCTTTGTCTTTTATTAGTGTAGATGTAGTATAATTTAATTTTGTTCTCTGTTGGGCATTTTATATTGTCTTCAAAATTTCGCTTATACAAATAATATTACAAAGGATATACTTGGGTATTTACCTTCTCTACTTTAAGAATTTTTCGTAGGTTGTTTATGTATTTATAATCATTTCTTTTATTTTCAGTGAAAAAAGTTGCCAGTGAAGGAGTGACTGATAACCCAGATGAGTCTGTGAGTGCTACAATTTCAGACACAGAAGAGTCTCAAAAGGATGCTCAGACAGTTCAGGAAGAACTGCAGTCTCTGACTTTATCAGGACAGGATTCAGAACAGATTGCATTAGAACCAGACCTAAATCTAGAGAAAAGAAGTAAAAATCAAGATGAAGTTGGTAAACAAGAAGTAAAAAATCTTTCAGGAAATGCCACTGTTCAGCCAGGACCTTCTAAAGGAGAAAAACAGAAAAGTAAGTTTCTTACATATTTTAATAGCCTCTGATTATTTGAGGACATACATATAATAATTTAGTGTATAAATTAATTGCCTGCCTTCTAGATAGTAGTAATTACTAATGTTTATTAATTGGTTCTGTATTTATGTACTGTGTTAAACACATTTATTTTGTTTATTTTTTTGTTAATCCTTACCTGAGGATATTCCCCCCATGATTATTCATTCATTTATTTATTTATTTAGTTTTAATTAAAAAAATTTTTTTTTAATATATATATATTTTATTGATTTTTTACAGAGAGGAAGGGAGAGAGATAGAGAGTTAGAAACATCGATCAGCTGCCTCCTGCACACCTCCCACCGGGGTTGTGCCCGCAACCCAGGTACATGCCCTTGACCGGAATCGAACCTGGGACCCTTCAGTTCACAGGCCGACGCTCTATCCACTGAGCCAAACCGGTTTCGGCAAATTATTTATTTATTAAATATGTTTTTATTTATTTTGTATAGAGAGGAAGGGAGATGGGGAGAGAGATAGAAACATCAATGAGATAGAAACATTGATAGGCTGCCTCCTGCATGCTCCCCAATGGGGTTTGAACCTGCAACCTGGGCATGTGCCTTGACTGGGAATCAAACCGACAACCTTAACTCCATTGTACTCCCATTAACAATGCTAAGAAATCACATGTATATACTGCAGGTCTTCAAATAATGTGGTTTCACTCAGCAATATTTTTCACAACTTGATGAAATGCTTTAGGAACTTAACTCTTGTTAATACAGCAGTTAGCCACTGGTAAAATTGGTTCTGTTATATGTAATTTTGCCTCAGTTCCAGGAACTAACCTATTGACAATGTAAAGTGAGGACTTACTATAGTTAAACGTACATTGCTTGTATCTGTTAATAAATCACAGGTTTTCATGTTACCTTTTCATAGCACCTCTCTGAACCCACAATAAGTTGTTTAATTTCTATAAAAGAACTACTGCAATAAGTATTCCTCCCATTTTCATTTTTTGAACTTTCTTAGAATGCAGACATATTGACACTTACGAGTTTTTAGGGAACGAGGGCTAAGAGTTTAGGGAAGTCTTGGTCCCTTTCCTTAAGAGTTCATATATAGTCCTAGCCATATATAGTTTGGCTCAATGGATAGAGCGTTGGCAGACTGAAGAGTCCCAGGTTCGATTCCCTTCAAGCACACATACCTCGGTTATAGACTTGATCTCTGCCCCAGTCAGGGCTCATGTGGGAGGCAGCCAATCGATGAGTGTTTCTCACATGGATGTTTCTCTCTCTGTCTCTCCCCCTCTCTTGCACTTTCTCTAAACATCAATGGAAAAATATCCTGGGGTGAGGATGAACAACAAACAAACAAACAAAAGAGTTCATGTATAGATTATTTAAAACAGATAATCAGGTAAAGAGAGGAGAAAAAAATAGACCAGAACAACTTTTCTATAGAATTTAAATTTTATGTAATTCAGCTTCACCTATATGATTTTTTATTTATTATTATTTTTAAAATATTTTCATTGATTTCAGAGAGGAAGGGAAAGACAGAAAGAGAAAGATCAATGATGAGAGAGAATCATTGATTGGCTGCTTCCTGTATGCCCCCCACGGGATTGAGCCCACAACCTGGACATGTGCCCCGACTGGGAATCGAACTGTGACCTTCTGGTTCGTAGGTCGACGATCAACCACTTAGACACACTGGCCAGGACACCCATATGATTTTAATAAATGAGTCCTGGTTGGTAGCATAGTATGGTTTATAGGCATTACAATATTATGCTCTTTTGTGGCTTACTAGTAAAGATATTACATGTAAATTGGGGTAGCTCAATGATTAAGAAATTGGACTTTAGTTTAAATTAGTTCTTTTATTTGCTAAGTACGACCTTGGGCAAATCACTTAATATCTTTCAACTTAAATTCATTTTCTCTGCGATGGGGTTAATATGAATAACTTTTAGTAGGATTGTTTTGAATTATTGAATGAGGTATTTGATGGACTTACAGTTCCATCACTTAGTAAGTTCTGAAATGATTAGCTATTACTGTGTTATAATTATGACACTTATAAAGGAGCAGAAGAGCCAAATCCACTTTGTTTCATAACTAGACATATTTAACCACTTAAAATTTAAGCAAGATAAAAGGAGGATGCTACAGACTATCTAAGAAATTTGTGCTGATCCTAAAAACACAGTTGTAAATTGATTGATTTTTCATTAATGCTCTTAAAGTATGATCTATCTCTTGCATATAAGAACTTAAATGTTGAATGGATTAATGATTTATAGGAAGAGATGATGTTATATGTAAATTCCTTTGAGCTTTAAAATTTAGATGTTTTTGCTGTCTAGAATAACATGTATTTTGTATTCATAGATAAATGTCCATTTTTAAGGCCTGAGAGAAATGAAGATGAAGGTAATAAGGAACAGAAGCTTTCCTGTGTACAGACCTTCAATGAAGTTGAGGATTTATCCTCCAGGGACAAAGTTGTGAATAAAACCGACCCACTTCTTTCATTAAGGTATTTTATATATCTTTCCTGACTTTGTTTACATTTTCTGTCAGTTACTGAGAGAGGAGTGCGAAGTCTCCAACTGTAATTGCGATTTGGCTTATTTCTCTTTTCAGTTCTATTTGTTTTTCTTTATGTATTTTCAGGCTCTGTTATTAGGTTTTATACATACCTTGAATTGTTTCTTCTAGGTGAAGTCATCCTTTTATCATTTGTGTGATATCATTCTGGTATTGTCTTTTGTTCTGATGCTTATTTTGCCACACAGCTTTCTTGTGATAGTGTTTGTATGGGTTTATCATGTTCTATAAAAATTTTCTCTTTATTTTTGTTTTTTAGCAGTTTAAATGTGATGGATCCTGCTGTCTGAGTTTTTGTTGTTGTTTTTTAATATATTGATTTTTTTACAGAGAGGAAGGGAGAGGGATAGAGAGCCAGAAACATCAATGAGAGGGAAACATCGATCAGCTGCCTCCTGCACACTCCTACTGGGGAAGTGCCCGCAACCAAGGTACATGCCCTTGACCGGAATTGAACCTGGACCCCTTCATTCCGCAGGCCAATGCTCCATCCACTGAGCCAAACATGTTAGGACAATGTTGTTGTTTTTTAAATTGTGGTAAAAACAACAACATGTAACATAAGATCTCTCTAACAAATTTTTAAGTGTATATAGTACAGTATGTTAACTGTAAGCAGTGTTGTAGAGGAGATCTCTATAACATTTTCATATTGGATGACTGAAACTCTATATCCATTGAACAGCAACTCCTTATTTCCTTCTTACTGTTAGCCCCGGGGACCACCATGCTAATTTATATTTCTACTAGAGGCCTGGTGCACGAATTCGTGCATGGGTGGAGTCCTGACGGGAAGTAGGGAGGAGGGGGGCCCGGGAGGCGATCGGCCCTCTGGGTGGGCAGTGGGACGCCCTTGCCTGTCTGTCCTGCTGACATTTGCGCTGGTTGTTGGGAGCCATCTGGCAGCCGCCTTTATGTAATTTCTTCCTTGCGGAGCATCTAGGGAGGGGAAGCGGCCGTGGTGTCCCAGCCCGACTTCCAGGAGGTTGGCAGTACTGTCAGGATCATCCTGGTGGTGCTGGTCTGTTGGTGCCTGGCCTGTTCTCTGGAGATTGGACCTGTAGGACTACTGAGGGTGTGAGTGACTGCCGCCAGGCTGATGGGCCACTGGACGGGTTGGTCAGCTGAGCGGTGCTCCTGCTGTGGAAGCACACTGACCTCCAGGGGGCAGCTCCTGTGTTGGGCATCTGTCCCCTGGTGGTCAGTGCACATCATAGCGACTGGTTATTCTGGTTGTTCGGTCATTCTGGTCATTCAGTCGCTTAGGCTTTTATATGTATATAGATGAGTTTGATTACTTTAGATACCTCATTTGTCCCTCTGTGACTAGCTTATTTCACCTAGCATAATGTTTTTAAGGTTCATGCATGTTGTAGCCTATGATAGGATTTTTTTCTTTCTTAAGGACGAATAATAGTCCATTGTATATATGTATCATATTTTTCTTTATTCATCTGTCAATGGATATTTAGGTTGTTTTAATCTCTTAGCTATTGTGAATAATTCTGCAATAAACATGGGAGTGCAGAGATCTCTTTGATATTCTCTTTTCAGTTCTTCTGGATAAATACCCAGAAGAAGGATTACCAGATCATATATATGATAGTTCTATTTTTACCTTTTTTAAAAAATATATATTTTTTTGATTTCCGAGATGAAGGGAGAGGCGGGGGAGAGACAGAAACAACAATGTGAGATAATCATTAATTGGCTGCCTCTGGCTTGCCCCTTGTTGGGGATTTAGCCTGCAACCCGGGCATGTGCCTTGACTGGGAATTGAACCTGGGACCTCTTGGTCTATGGGACAATGCTCAATCCACTGAGCCACCACAGCCAGGCTGTTTTTACTCTTTTGAGGAACTTGCATACTGTTTTCCATGTGGCTGCACCATTATATTTTTTCACCAATAGTGCACAAGGATTGCAGTTCTTCACTTCCTCTCCAACACTTAAAAAAAAATGGCAATACTAACAGTTGTGATGATATACCTCATTATGGTTTTGATTTGTATTTCTCTGATGGTTAGTGATACTAAGAATCTTTACATATACCTGTTAGCCATTTGTATGTCTTCTTTGGAGAAATGTTTCAAGTTCTTTTCCCATTTTTAAAATTAGGTTATTTGTGTTTTTGCTATGAGTTATAGAAGTTCCTTTTATATTTTCGATATTAAGCCCTTGTCAGATATACGCCTTACAAATATTTTCTCCCATTTCATAGATTGGCTTTTGACTCTTGATTATTTCCTTTGCTGTACATAAACTTTTTAATTTGATGTAGTCTCACTTGTTTATTTTTGTTTCTGTTCCTGTTGGTGTGATAGCCAAGAAATCATTGCTAATACCAATGTTATGAAGTTTCTTCCCGTGTGTCCTTCTAGGAGTTTTATAGTTAAAGTGTTTCCTTTAAATCTTTAATCCGTTTTAGTTGATTTTTGTGTATGTTTTAAGATAAATGTCCAGTTTCATTTTTTTGCATGGGGATATTCAGCTTTCCTAATATCATTTGTTGAAGAGACTATTCTTTTCCTATTGTGTAGTTTTGGCACCCTGTCAAAGATCATTTGGCCATATATACATGGTTTATTTCTAGGCTGTCTATTCTGTTCCACTGGTCTATATGCTTATCTTCTGAAAAATTTGATGTAAGTTATTTATTTTCATGTAGAAAAATACACATATGCACATATGCTGATTTTTTCATATAGTTCACAATGTTAATAATGTATTTGAAGCAGAGGATGGACCGAGACCCACCCCTGTGCCCACCACAGCCTTGCGGTCCACTGTTTCTTTCAAGGTTCATGAATTTGTGCACTGGGCCCTTAGTGAATGTATAAATACATGAAACAACAAATCGATGTTTCTCTAAAAATCAATCAGTAAATAAAATTTTTTAAAAGGACCCAGAGGTATTCCTGCCAGGCCCCTCCCGCTGCGGCCCCTGGTCCCCTGTCTGCCGGCAGCTCCGCTCCTGCCTCTGCTCCCACGTGCCGATGACGCCGGCCCTGCTCTTACCCGCTGATGGCGAGGAGTGATTGGGGCCGGTGCCAGCAGCAGGTGCGAGCAGGGCCGGTGCTGTCAGCGGGTGTGAGCGATGGCTGCTGCCCTAATCGCCCCTCAGGAGCAGGGGAGGTGGAAAAGCCCTCAGAGGCGATCGGGGCCGGCAGCCACCACTTGCACCTGCTGATGGCACTGAGCAATTGGGACCTGCACCAGGCCCTGGCAGTGGGTGTGAGCGCCTGGTGAGACCACGGTGCGTGGGAAAAAAGAATTTTCAGTAACCACCAGAGGCTTGCCCCGATGACGGCGACTGGTACACTGCCTTGGTCTGGCGCCCCCACTCACCTGCTCCACCATCCTGCTGCGGTCGATGCCTGCCATGTTGTGCACACTCCCCCTGGTAGTCAGCACACGTCATAGCGACCGGTTTGGTTGTTCAGTTGTTCTGCTGTTTGGTCTATTTGCATATTAGGATTTTATGTATATAGATAGATTGGTTGCTTCTTACATGTGCCCTGTCCTTGGATCAAACCTGTAACCTTCGCATATTGGGATGATGCTCAAACCAACTGAGCCATACTGGCCAGGGCTATTTTTGAATTTTTATAAGAGTTTATTTTAGCCAAACTGACACATATTCTGGGGAGCAAGATCTCAAATACTTCCATAAAATTTTAATGAAAGATAATTCCTAAGTATTACTATGAACTCCATATAATGAAGGGATTTTCCTTTTGTGACTTTTTGAACACTTTCCCAAGCTTGTTAATTTATGGTGGCTACTTTCTTTGAAGGAACAGTTCCTTTTTTTAAAAAATATATTTTTATTGATTTCAGAGAGAAAGGGAGAGGGAGAGAAACATCAATGATGAGAGAGAATGCTGCCTCCTGTAAGCTCCCTACTGGGAATTGAGCCCACAACCCGGGCATGTGCCCTTGACCAGAATCAAACCTGGGACCCTTCAGTCCACAAGCTGATGCTCTATCCACTGAGCCAAACCAGCTAGGGCAAAGGAATAGTTCTTAATAACATGGTGCAACAAAGATCACAAAAAGCCAAAGTATTTGTTTTAATTCTTTCATAATATGAAGGATTATCGTTCACAGTGTTGGTTAGTATATAGCATTTTAAAAGTCTTTTAAATAATTAAAGTATGCATTACTAAGAATTTCTTTCCCCCCTGATGTTTTCATTTCCTTAGTAGTCAACAAGATGCTACATCAGTAACAACTGGGGCTTCAGAATCAATCACTTCAGATTTGCATTCATTAGAAGTTGGAATTAGAGTCTTATGTGAGGTGAATAATGCTGAGAGTAGTTGTACAGAAGAAAGAAATGTTGAACTAAAAAATACATCACTGTAAGTATTTTACATGGTAGGACTTAAAAATTTTTTTTCAAACTTTTGATAATTTCTTACCATTTAACAAATGATAATGTTGCTTCCTTTAGGGATGAGGAGGGAACTATAGACCATTTAATATGTCTGTGGTCTGAGTGTGTATATTTCATTACCGAAAGAGCCTCTTTCATATATGATGTCTTATAGTTATACGAATTTTAACAAAGTAGTAACTTAAGAAATTCTAAAAATAATTTAGAAGCTTAACTATTTGCTGAGATTTTACTTATACTTGGTTTGAGTTAATATTCATGCCTGTGGGCAAAGTAGTGGATTTTGATATTTATGACTTTGAAGAGATTATCATGTTTGTTAGTATATAGATACTGGTTAAGTTGATATCACTAAAAATGGAACAAAAGCACCACAGAATTTCCTTTTGAAGAGATATGTCAAAAATTCAGACTTCCTTTTTGTCTCCCTCATAACTTCTCATATGGTCTTAAAAGCTATTCAGTTTATAAATTATTTATATTCAGTAAAGCAAAGCCATATTGAGAATCAATCTTATTTTTTAAAATAAAAATTGAAATTAGTCTTTGGTATGGATAATATATTCTTATGGTTCAGCTGTCTAGAAGTGTAAAAAGGTATTGAGTGAAATATTCTTCCTACCATATCCTTATTCACTCTAACCAGTACCAGTTTTATTTTTTCAGAAAATTTTTAAAAAGTATATTAAAGCTAATACAAATAGCCCTGCCCATTGTTTGCTTAGTGTTTAGAGTGTCGGCCTACACACCAGAGGATTTTAGGTTCAATTCCTTGTCAAGGGCATATACCTGGGGTGCAGGTTCCATCTCCAGCCCTGGTTAGGGCGCATGCCAGAGGCAACTAATCGATGTATTTATCTCACATCTATATTTTTCTCTCTCTTTCTTCTTCTCTCTACCTCCCTTCCATTCTCTTTAAAAATCAGTGGAAAAAATGTCCTTGGGTGGGGATTAACAACAAGAACAAAAAGCTAATACAAACATATTTTTTTAACTCTTTAAAAACCTAGTGGTGTACATACCTTTTGCATTTTTTTCTTACATCTACATACCTTTACATAAAGACCTTTATTATTTTTATAGCTGCATAATGTTCTTGTATGGAAAAATCACATTTTATATTATCAGTTCCCTATTGATGGCTATATAGGGTTTTTTTTTTTTTTTTTTTTTTACAAATAATGCTTATAATCTTACTGTACATTTCCACTCATTCATCTTTATGCAAGTGTATTTGTAGGGTAAGTTCCTGAAAATGGAAATGCTTGCTTCATGGATATATATGTGTGTACACTTATGATTTTGATAAGATAGTGACAAAACGCTACCCATAGGAATTATACTAGTTTACATTCTCACCAACAATGTAAGAGAGCACCTCTCTTTCTTAGCAACTAATAACGTTGTTATCAAGCTGGGATTTTTGGTGGTCTTGATAGATTATAAAATAACACCTCAGTACAATATTTCCACCTCATTCCTTTTTCTGGGGGAAGGGATGTGTAATTCTTTTATTTATTTTTTTCAGCTTTTTATTTAAGTATTTTCCAACCTAAATAAAAGTCAAAGGAATAGAATAGTGAATATCTATATATAATTCCAGGTAGGTTTTCAGAATTTTTTTTTTAAAATATATTTTACTGGTTTTTTACAGAGAGGAAGAGAGAGAGATAGAGAGTTAGAAACATCGATGAGAGAGAAACATCGATCAGCTGCCTCCTGCACATCTCCCACTGGGGATGTGCCCTGACTGGGAATCAAACTGGCAACCTTTTGGTGCATGGTACAACACCCAACCAACTGAGCCACACTGGCCAGAGCAAATTTTCTGATTTTTAATGTCTTGTCACATTTGTGCTCACTCATGTTGTTTCTTTACTTTAAAAAAAAATATATATATGTATATATTTATTGATTTCAGAGAGGAAGGGAGAGGGGAAGAGAGATAGAAACATCAAGGATGAGAGAGAATCATTGATCATCAGCCTCCTGCATGCCCCACATGGGGTTGAACCTGCAACCTGGGCATGTAGCCTGACCGGGAATCAAACCATGACCTCCTGGTTCCTAGGTCAATGCTTAACTACTGAGCCATGCCAGCCGGGCTAATATTTATTCTTAAGAATACATTATTTTGTATTTCATCTTATCCTCACACTTTTGAAATGCTGCCCTTTATAAATATTAAAATCATCTTTATTTTGGAGTCATCTCAATTTTCTTTTGTGTTTCATTTATCTGTTTCTTCATATATATCAGTTCCACAGTGTTTTAATTATTGATGCTGAATACTGTGTTTTTAACATCTGATGGAACAAGTTATTGCCTCATTGCTGTTTTTCAGTTTTCTTTGCTACACTTATTGTAATATGCTTAAAGGAGTTTTTTTCTGACTCTGAATGAATTTTTAAGAATTTCATTTAATATGCCTGAATGAAAGTGCATAATGATATTTTTGTAGGGAATCTGATCAAGCAGAAAATGTTAAACCTATGGTAAGAGGACGATTCCAGAGACCTAAACCCAATTTATCAAGGGCTGTTGGGAAGAAACCAATTCTTTCACAAGGTAAAACAGATGCCAAGAGCAAGAATTTAAATCCAGAAGCTTCAGTTGAAAAGGTATGGAGCAAGAGACTTTATAGATATTAAAATTATAAAAATTTTTTTCCTTAATAGTTGGAAATAAAAATGTTTAGTTGTAATTAAAAAATAATGTTAGTGACACTAACACAAAGATACAAGAACTTACACATTAATATTAAATGTTTTACTAGTGTCTTGATTATGCATTTTCTTCAGAACAACTTCCCCATTAATATTAAATTTGTCTTAGCCAGGCCAGTGTGGCTCAGTGGTTGAGCATCAACTTATGAATCAGGAGGTTGTGGTTCGATTCCCGGTCAGGGCACATGCCTGTTTGCAGGCGCCATCTCCGGTGGGGAGCATATAGGGGGGCTGGCCGATCAATGATTCTCTCTCATCATTGATGTTTCTATCTCTCTCTCCCACTACCTCCCTCTCTAAAGTCAATTTAAAAAAATATTAAATTTGTCTTACTAGGCTCCTGCTTTATTTTATTTTAAAAGTATATCTTTTTATTGATTTTTAGAGAGAGGAATGGAGAGGGAGAGAGAGAGAAACATCGATATGAGAGAGGAACACCGATTGGTTGCCTCCTGCATGCAACCTCTCTGGGGATGGAGCCCATAACCTGGGCATGTGCCTTGACCAGGAATGGAACTGGCGACCTTTTGGTATGTGGGATGATGCTCAACCAACTGAACCATATCGACCAGAGCTTATGCATATTATTTTTAGAACTAAGACAAATTTCAAACATCCTCAATAATGACATATCTGACTTTTCCTATATGAAATTATTATTCAGAATATTTTTTAAACCATAAAATTTTATCTACAACCTTTTCATCTAAACACAGATACATTGCTCTGTTTATCCTTTATAAACGTAAACTTTCTTTTTATGAATGTAAACATTTCTATAGTTTTTTTTATAGTTTTTAATCATAAAATTTTGTTTTTGTTTTTGTTTAATATCCATTGATGTTTTAGAGAGAGTGGAAGGTAGGGAGAAGAGAGGAGAGAGGGAGAGAGAGAGGAAAAGAGAGAGAGAAAGAGAAAGAGCGAAACATTTATGTGAGAGAAACATGTCAGTTGGTTGCCTCCTGCACTTGCTCTGACCCAAGGACAAACCTGCAGCCCAGGTACATGCCCTTGAATAGGAATCGAATCTTCAACCCTTTGGTGTGGGCCAGTGCTCTAACCACTGAAGTCACACCAGCCAGGGCAATCATAACATAAAATTTAAAACTTCTTGATCTAAATTTATTCATTTTAGTTCTTGGGATTAAGTGTTCTTTTTAATTAAGATTAATTTATCAATTTACTAACCATTTCCCTAATGGTGGATATTTGGGTTATTTCCATTTTTTAAACTCTTGAAATAAAAGCAAACAATTTTTTAAATAGGGCTTTCTTAAGGTAAGACAAAGGATAAATTTTCAGGGGTGATGAGAGTAATGGGTCAAATATTTTTAATATTTTTATAGGTCTTGTGCATTGTCAGACTGACAGTCAAAAACATGACTCTATTTATGTTGCTACAAGCACCAAATGAATGTTCCTGTTTCCTTATATTCATGCTAACATTATATTGTTTTAAATTTTTTATTTTTGGTAAAATACTTTTTAAAATGGTAGTCTACATTTTTTCGTATTATGTGAAATAGCTTTTTGATCATACTTTTTATAATTTAGTTGTATTATAATTATATAAGGTATTTTTAACTTCTAGAAAATTAGGGAAATATACACTCATGTAAAAATTAAAACCTTCCTGGCCGGTGTGCCTCAGATGATTGGAGCCTCTCAATCAGTGTTCTCTCTCCCTCCCTCCTTCTCTCTAAAAATCAATGAAAACATATCCTTGGGTGAGGATTAGAAAAAAATGAAAACAAAAACTACTTGTAATTTCATTATTCAGATGCAACCAACATTTTAATTCTTTCAACCTTTCTTAATTACAAAATTGAGTAGTAGTAGTAATTCAGTTTTGTATCCTTTGTATTTAACTTCTATAAATATTTTTCCATATCATTAAACATCTTTTGAAAACATGGTTTTTTAATTTAGTAACTTCATAATATTCTATCAGTGGATGTGAACTGAGTTTATTTAACCATTCACTCATTGTTGAATATTTTGTCTGTTTACAGCAGGGATGAGGAATCTTTTTTTCTGCAAAGGGCCATTTGGATATTTATAACATCATTCACGGGCCACACAAAATTAAATTAGCCTGCTATATTTGGTCACACATTTAATTAACTCACCCCTAATGCCTTATATGGCCCATGGGCCAGACTTTCCCCAACCGTGATTTAACAGTGTTTGCTATTTTGTATAATATTCCAGTGAACATCTTTGTACTTAAATTTTAGTCTAAATATTTTAGAATAGAGTCTTAGCAATCATATTACTGGGTCAGAAAGGGTGAATATTTTTAAGGTTCTTGATTTATATTGACAAAAGGCTTTCCAGAAAGGATATACTGATTTGTGATTTGTCAGTAATGTATAAGGTTATACAAGATTGGGCAAAAGTAGGTTTATGGTTGTGAATATGTGAAACACAATTTTATTCTTGTATTTTTTAATTATTGTATTATTTTCCATATGAACAACTGTAAATCTACTTTTGCCTCACCTGTTATTTTTTCTAATACTTTCATCTGTATGTATGACTTTAAAAACTCTTCTGATTAGAAGTACAAAAGAATTTTTTTCTTTAAATTTCCTTATTTTTGCAAAGTTTCAACTTTTTTATGTTAAGTAGATTTAATGTAAAACATTGAATTCATAGACTCACGTGGAAAAGGATAAAATGAATTCATTTGACATTTCTGGACTGGAGAATACAGTGAGAGAGAACTCAGAAGCTGATACTGTATCTAAGTAAGTATTTAGGAAGTAGAATACAAATAGTAACTCTTAGGAATGATTGTACTAACTTTTCTACTTGATACTGTCTGAAGTTTATTTTCAGTTATGCCCTTTAAGTCCATTTTTAACTATTGGAGTTGTTGAAACATTTAAATAATGCTCGTTATGCTTAATGTTGGCATAGGCAAAGTAGGTTTACAGTGTGAGTATGCAGTTTATTTTTGTATTATCTATACTAATAATCTATACTAATAAAAGGGTAATATGCAGATTAATCATCATTCTGCAACAAGGATGGCGGCACCCATAGCCTCAAAGGTGGCGGCACTGAGTGGGCGGGATGCTTGGCCTCCCATAAGCCCCAGCCAGCCGCCAAGGGCCAGCCTCTGGGCGGCGGCCACGGAGCCAGCCAGAGCAGGCAGGAGGTGACTCTGGCCAGGAGCAAAGGTGGAAGACGGCGGCCAGAGTGAAGGCCTGGGTCCTGGGTTCTGGAAGAAAGCTGGTGCCGGCAGCCAGGGAAAGGAAGGCCTATTCTTTTTTTTTCTCTCTTTTTTTAATATATATATTGATTTTTTACAGAGAGGAAGGGATAGGGATAGAGACTTAGAATCATCGATGAGAGAGAAACAATGATCAGCTGCCTCCTGCACGTCCCCTACTGGAGATGTGCCCACAACCCAGGTACATGTCCTTGACCGGGAATCGAACCCGGGACCCTTCATTCCGCAGGCTGACACTCTATCCACTGAGTAAAACCGGCTAGGGCGGAAGGCCTATTCTTGCATGAATTTTCGTGCATCGGGCCTCTAGTTATAATCATAACTTGCATGTCTTTTTCCTTACAAGCAGCTGTGAACCTACTTTTGTCCACCCCTGTGTTGTAGAAATAAATTATTATATGGATCCATTGAGTTAGCAATTACATTTCTCCCTCAACTTATTAACAAGCTTATTAACAAAGTCTTGTTATATAAGTTAATGGGTAAGATAATGTGTTTCTAGATAATTTTACTTATAACAAGGGGTTTCAAAAGGGAATATTTAATTTATAATGGAGATCTAGAATAGACATTGCTCCAGTATGAATCTGAACCAGTGGATTTTGGACTGTATATTTATGCCATAATCTGTTTCCAGTGCCCTGGTAATGTACACTATACAATATTATCCTTAGTGGGGAATTGTAGTACATGCTTATCAGATGTAAATTTTCTAATTTTGTGATGAAAATTTGATTTTAAAATGCTTTTTATAGTCAGATTTCTAGAATTATGTCTTGGTTTCCAAAGATTCAAAGTGTAGAAGTATGAATATCTTTGAAGGATGTGTTCTTGAGGATACTTGTGAATTATTTTATATTACAAGTTATTTGTACCTGAGAGAAGGGAGTACTAAAAACAAGCAAGTATGTGACTTCAGAATAACTATTGATTTGATTCCTTTGTAATTGTTTTAGTTTGAGTGAAAAAATGAATCTGCAGGAAGATAATCAACCAAAGGCTTTCAGACCTGCACGACTGAGGGCCCGATTACAAAGGCCAAAGCCAAATGTAGTTAAAGCTGCTGGAAGAAAAGAAATCCTTGCATCACAAGAAGAAATTGGGGCCAATGTAGAAAAGAATGAAAATGAATCCTGTGTTGATATAAATGTAAGTATTCTGATTCTTCCCAGTGTTTTTGTTAAATATATAGCCTCCTTTCACCTTCTTTTTATATACTTTCATTGATTTCAAAGAGGAAGAGAGAGGGAGATAGAAATATCAATAATGAGAGAGAATCATTAATTGGCTGCCTCCTGCATGCCCCATACTGGGCATCGAGCCGGCAATCAGGGAATGTGCCCTGACAGAGAATTGAACCATGACTTCATGGTTCTTAGGTCAACCCTCAACCACTGAGCCACGCTGGCTGGGCCTCACCCGCTTTTTAAACAGTAGTGTTATACCATTGTGTACATTGTTCATTAAATAGAAGTCCAAAATCTCCTAGGCAGCCACTTTGCTATCGTAAAGTCATGTAACTCAGCTCTCTGGATTTTGGGCATTTATATGATGGATCATCGACTTTCATCTTACCTCATATTTGGACTTGCTTTTCTCCGTTACTCTGCAGATTT